TTCTCAGGGAGATACAACCAAGGAAATTGTGGATCGATTTTTATAAAGCTAACATAAACTATTTGTTCTTTCTTACCCACTTTTTCTCTTTCCTATAATTGTCTATCCCTTTAAAAACTTGGCAAAGCAGCAACCTTCTGTAAAAACCTTGCAAAATATGGGCTCCAAGTTACACAGCTTTTAAGAGGAAACTACACGTTTTTCAGTTCTAATTCTATTTATGTTCTACTGTATGCCAGCGAAAGTTGAAGAAACACCAAAGATATGGAATAAAAGTTAAATGCATTTGAAAATAAATAAACGAGAACAATCAGGAACATAAAATGGGATGAATTTAAAAAAGAGTGAGGAGATCAGAGAAATGTCTGGATATAGACCTGTTTCGACTACAAGAAAACAAAGAAGGTAGAGATATATTGGGCCACTGCCTTCTCTAGAGCTGGCCGTGATTGGGCACACTCTGAGACGAAATGAACAAAGAATTACAAAACATGTTCTAAAATGGGAAACAAAAGGTCCGCGTGGGGCTGCTGTCTAAAAGGTTTACCATCCTATTTTCAGATTAAAGAATCTTCAGCCTTCAAAGAAATTATAATAAGGGCAGCCGAAATAACTTTTTAAACATTTTATTCTTGTTTGTTATTCTTAGCGAGATTTTGCGTCCATCTAATAAGTTTCAGAGAGTTTATGGGGCAGCATATTGACCCAGTATTTGCGAGCTCTTTAAACTCACCTGTCTGTTTTTCTGTGTTGCAAATGGCCACAATTTGATTTACGAACGGTTTCACGCCCGCGTGTTGTTTAAACACTTGGTTGAATCTGACATCGATTTTCCCCTTTCACAGAACACGGTGTGACATTTATCTGATGTATTCATCAGATAAAGATGTCAGTTAGCTTGAATTAAGCTCGTTCAACTGGACAGGAGAAATTGTCTTGGCGAACGGGCGTGTTGGTTTCGTTGCAATCGTAGTTCATTTAATGAGCTGGTGATTTATAATCTTCTTCTTCTTCTTCGATCCTTCTGTCAGAAAACTTATATCAGGAGGCCGGTAGGCTTTATGAAAGCTATCGTGCAATCCATATCCTCTTGTGTACCATACAGTTTTGTCTTCATTGTGGTTGGAACAGGCCAGATTACGTCTCTGTTGTCAGCATACAGTTGACAGTGTTGGAGCACATGCTCAGCATTTTCGGGTGCCACGCTGCAGGGACACGTCTCCGTATTTCCTACACCGAAAAATTTGAACATATGTTGACGAAATCTGTTGTGCCCTGTCCTTAGTCTGAATATAATAGACTGTCCCTCTCTAGAGAGGCGATGAAGTGAGTCTTGGGGAGAAAATCTGTTGTGGGTATCCAGCCACCTTTCTTGGATACTAGATTGTATATGATTTTCGTCATTGTATTCTACACAGACACCATCTAATGAATGTTCAAGTCTGATAATAATCATTCTGTAGGCCGTTTTTCAGGTTTTTTGGCGACCGTGGCTTGGTGGTTACGAGCGCAATGTTTAATTCCGAGATACCCGATTCGATTTCAGCTGTGGGCCAAATGGCAGCAAACAGCGTTGCTTTTGTTTCAGCAATGGCATCGAGAACCGACCATTTAGTAACAGTGACAAACAGCTGGACGTCAAAAAATGACCAAGCCAAACTACAAACGAATGTGCTGTTGGTTTGCATCTGATCTGATCTCATCTTGATCTTCTGGTACCTTGCGATGTCGAAGTAAAGTACAATTTACGGGAAAATTACCGTTTGTGCGCTTCGTAAATAAGGATTCTCAGGGGCTCTGTTATTGCCTCTGTCCGTAGTTTGCATGGTCAGCCTCTTCTTCGCTTCCCGCCTGGTCTGTACATCATTGCTGGCTGGGGTATACTATCTCCTGACATCCGTGTTAAATGGCCAAACCATTTCACCTGTTGTCTTCTAATCTTCTTCTTCTTCTTCGCGTTCACCAGCTGTAAACTCTGGCCGAAAATTCTGGTTGCTCGTCCACTACTGAACTGCAGTCCTGCTCCAGAACCTGAGTGTTGCGTGTGCATCAGTTTTACAGATCTCATTCGCTTGAATACAGACTGTTGGTTCCTTGCCTCTCCGGCAGATGCACTCTGACTTCAAAGGAAACTCCCCAATTAGTCGACTCTTACAACATGCTTTTGGGGAGGCAGTGGGTCTATTCTTGTTTTCTCCACAATGGGGCCCCGGAACCCACACGGGGGTTGTCTTCTAATGAAATTAAGAGCTGCCGCTACCACCTTTTTATTTCGGGGTTTTTATTCCTGATCTGATCTAATGTATTGACAGCCTTCCATATGAATCTCATTTAAGTTTTTGTAAAAATTTTTTTTCTGTCCCTGTCCAGATCTGGCATTGGAAGCAGAGGGTTGGCAAGCAGATTGAGTCATAGTGTGTGTTTTTTTTTTTTTGGACACATGTTTATTTCTTATTATTGGTGCCATTGGCACAATGAAGTTGGTTTGCTCTGTTACACCTGTCATCGAAAACATCTGCTTTGAAGGGCTGAGCTAAACTTCCCCAAAAACCATGTGTAGTTCTTTAAAAAAAAGTTTTTTAGTTAATCGAGGGTACTAAAAAATAAAACCTTAAAAGTGTGACAGAAATTACAGTGCCACATGCCATTATCTTGTAACATGGGTACGTTGTTGTTAGGGATGTAAAGAGTGTTAAGCACATGACATCACGGTACAGATGAACACCATGACATCATAATGGCAGTTTAATGATAGCCCATAGAAATGCATGCACGAAGATCCAGTATGGTGATGCATGCCTGTCAGTCCACCAAGTATATCAGTGGACTAGACAGTTTCAAAGAGGGCTTCAGTGGCTGCCTTTGACTCTATGGTCACTGCTGGGTATGCCTGGACTGGTTGTAGACAGTCTGCCACAGAAGTGATGCCATTTTGAAACTTGCTGGATTGACAGGCATGCTTGATAATAATATTAACAGATTACGAGATACTGGCTCGGTTTTGTAATCCCCATCCCACTTTTAAGCTTTTTATTCGAAGAATCTCATACATATCATGTTACTTAAGATATATTATAAAAAAATGTTACCACTCAGTCCTGCTTATCATCATTATTATTATTATAACACTTAAAAAAGCATAGGTCCCTTGAGGACCTCTAGAATATTGGCAATGGAGGTAAACATCCCCCACCCCCACTCCTCCAATGTCTTCTTTGGGTCAGTGCCTCTGGATGCACCTGAAAGTGGTAAAGGATGAGATACACATTGTTTAAATACAGCTGTGGGAAACCCAGAGGGGTCCACAGGATATGTGGAGTGGTGGATTATCACAGAATATTTGACTCATAGCAAGGCAATAAGTTGCTGAATACTGAGCATGTATTCCTGAGCCATGTGGATCTGGACAGCAGAGAGAAACTGCCACATTATTTTCTCAAGACAGATCATGGCAGTGAAGCAGAGGTGCTGATGAAACACATGTCTTTTAAGTTTATATACTATAGGAAATAGAAGACTGGGAAATGAGAACTCTGTAGTGTGAACAGGCCCCCCAGAATATGAAACATGCTGAAGACATGCTCTCTACATGCAGTAGAAAGCTACCACATCTGGCCAGCTGGCATTTAGATGGAAACCAGGCTATATGGATCAGTGGAGCACCACAGCCTTGATTGAATCTGAACACTACTAGTAGGGAGAGGGAAGGGGGAAAAAGATATTTTGTAATGAGAGCAATTTTCATCAGAATTTTTTTTGTTTTGTGTCTTATGTTCACTCTTACAAAAAACAGCTGGCAGTTTGTATTATGGTTTACAGCTAGGCTGAATAATATGTGGCCTTCGGCCCAACACATCTAATTTCAACAAACACCCAATTTGGCACCTTTGATGACCTGCTTATTAGGGATGCCGGGTTCTATCCCAGCTGCGGGCCTTGTGCCTTACGATGGTTTCGACAGTGGTCTCGAGAAGCCGACCATCCAGCACTGGCAAACTACTTGAAGTAAACTTGCCTAGAAAAAACACAACAGCGAAAAATGCTGGGGTTGGTTCTGCAATGTCCTGTAAAGGATACACAACTAACTTTTTGTTAGGGGCCATGGGTCTACTATCCCCAGCAAACACACCCCCCCCCCCCTTTTCCCCCCTGAAACTGACACGCAGAGTTCTGCAACATGATGATTATCAAGCCACTAATTTCTCAACAGTTACACATAAAACTCCGCCCTGCTGACTGCCGTGTTTGACGTCCGTGTGTGATTTATGACTTCATAACTCCTCAGTCAAGTTGAGATGGCAGCACTTAAGCAAATGCTTTGAATTAATCAGAAACATCCACTCTGATAAGGTGGAAAATCGATGACAGGTTATTGATTTCACTGAAGTCATATTTCAGGTCGGTTTTCTATTTCAGGTATCATATGTCAGTGCCATGCTTGTCAGTGTTGTCGCGTAAATCATATTCGACGTCATCATTACATTTATTGCAAACTGGTTTGTTTGCCATGTTTTTTCACAGTACCCACTCCACTGTGGATGAATATTGTCCGATATTTGGGTGATACAGGACTCAGCATTGCTCCTCTCTCTGTCTCTGTTTGTTTGTCTGTATGTCTGTCTATCTGTCTCTCTCTCTCTCTCTCTCTCTCTCTCTCTCTCTCTCTCTCTCTCTCTTTTGATTATCTCTGCCTGATGTGAACAAAGAATGTTGATTGTCTGCCCTTGATGAGAGCAACGGACGTTGATTATAATCAAGATAATTATCTTGTCCTGATGATAGCTAATTATGTTGATTGTTTACCCCTGATGTGATCAGCAAATGTTGATTATCTCATCCTCATTTACATTTTGTTTTAACTCCTTTCAAGAAACATTTCAGTTTCTTACTGTGACTGCCAGTGAAATCTGTATTGCAGCAAATGTCCCCAAAATCAGCAAATAACCCACATTTTATTTGTCGTTAATCATTTTGATAAAGTGTCATTTCTGTAATTTCAGGTTCATATAGGGTACTTGCCTAACAAAAAGATTCTGGGCCTTAGTAAATTAGCCAGGTAAGTGTGTTCTGTTCAAGTTACTTGTTGGCAACAGATCATTACATCTGTTTGCTTGGTTATTAGTTTTCTTTTGTCCTTAAGATCTGTGATATGTGAGAGCATATGGTGTTTGTTTTTTTTCCTTTCTCTTCCACCCCCACCCCTCCCTCACAATTTAGCTTTTATTTTGTATTTGTTTTATCTGTCTTATGATTCATTTTTTTTTTTAGTCTATTGTGTGTGTTTGATAATCGTTCATTTCTTTCTCAGTGTCTACCTTTATTTTGATCTGTCTTTTTTCGCCCACATTATTGTTTTTGTGTGTTTTGTTGTCATTTTTCCCCATTCCTGACCTTCTTTCCTTTACATCTCTTTTGCTGTTTTACAATTTTTTTTAAACCTATAACTCCATAAGCTCTAAATTGACAGTGTTTTGCTTTCTCAGACCATGATAAAAATTGATGCAGAAGAGAATTTCCTTAAGCTTTTGGCTTTTGTATTGTGTACACACTTAGTAATTCCAAAGGTACCTGGTTCATTTCTTGCTGCCAGTGATTTGGTAGCAGACCACCGTGTGTTGATTTCAGCAGTGATATTAAGAGCTGAATATTTTGAGAGCAATGGCAAACTACTGAACATAAAACTACCTTGTAAAAACAGCTAACAAATGCTGAGGTTTGTTCTGTAACATTCTGTAAAGGTTAAGCAACTGACTTTTAACTTTACATGTAACACACAGTGTGATCTGTGTTAGTTTCTTTCTTCTTCTTGTTCACCTTCATGCTTGTGAGTTTATGCAGAAAGTTCTAGTTGTCTGTCCACTTCCAAACTTTAGTCTTCTTCTAGAACTTGAGTTTTGGGTGCACATCATTTTACAGGTCTGGCTTATTTATATGCAGACTGTTGGTTCCTTGCCTCTCAGGCAGATACACTCAGACTTCAAAGGAAACAATCCTAATTAGTTTCCTTTTGCTATGAGCTTATTGGAGGGCAGTGGGTCTGTTCTTGTTTCTCCCAGAGCCCACACAGGGGTAAGTGTGGCAGTAAAGTGGACAGTGGCTCATGAGTCAAAGCCCAAAAATGTCTGCCTTATCATGTAAATGGATCATGTAAATGGGTAGAGTAGGTAGTTTTTCTCTTCTAAAATCTCAGTCTGTAGGATTACCATCTCAGGGGTGAGAATCAACCAGCTATAAGTGGTATTCAGCAAATCAGAATTTTTTAAATTTTTATTTTAAAGTATCCAGAAACCATGAGTTGTAAATCCTTTGGCTTGGTACTATGGATATCACAACCCTTCAGCCTTGATTCCATTATGGGTACCATAAATCTGGGAGAGATGTGTCTTGTCTGCCTACCCCCAGGTGTGAACCTGGACCACAAGGAGTTCGTCACCCGGTCCCTGGGAAGTCAGCTTTTAACCTACTACTCTAGCGAGCTGGGCTAAATCAGCATTTAAAGATGTTAGCTCAAAACTTTGATTATCATTTTTTAAAAATGTCATCATTTTTCGGCCATGTTATTAAAAGAGGGAAAATAGAACATGTTGGGACCACTGGAAAGATCTGTTGAAGGAGAGATAGAGGAAGACAATGAGAGAAGATGCTTGACAGTCTTGTTGCATGGCATGGAGGTGTTTCGGCACACGAACTGATACATGCTGCAGGAGATCGCAGATTATGGAGAGGCATGATCGCCCACGCCAGTCGGCAAGGCACCTGATGATAATGATGATTAAGCTCACTTCTGACGTCAGTCTTGTGTCCAAATATAAAATGCAGTCATTGTCTGTCACAGTACCTATGTTTAAGGTTCAGATTGTGTCTTTTCTGTCTCTTTTTTCCATTTACTTTTTTGTGTTTGAAAAGACTTTCTCAGTCCGTGTTAGTAAAAAAAGTAAACATATAAAAGACTTTCTCAGTCCGTGTTAGTAAAAAAAGTAAACATATAAAAGACTTTCTCAGTCCGTGTTAGTAAAAAAAGTAAACATATAAAAGACTTTCTCAGTCCGTGTTAGTAAAAAAAAGTAAAATATAAAAACTTTCTCAGTCATATAAAAAAAGTAAACATATAAAAGACTTTCTCAGTCCGTGTTAGTAAAAAAAGTAAACATATAAAAGAAAACTGAGACATTGATTGAATGTTATTGCACCGCTTCCTGTATCAGAATGAAAGTTCCAGCTATGTATATCAGATCATATATCCTCAGAGCAGCAGCAGATGTCACATTAGCTAAAAATCGTAACTTCGTGTCATCGGATTTCACAAATAAACTGCCATCTACATTGTGTTTCATTTTTTTGCTAAGCTGTCAAGTGGGCCGTGATGAAACAGTTGTCCCTATTTTGGTGGGGGGCTGCGGGTGTAAACAGTTTTGAGAAACACTGGAGTAGAGGATCAATGTCCACACCAAATGGCAGATGGGATTAAAATGTATGGGACGGTTTTAAACATTCACTTCAGGGGAGGTTCAAACCTTCGATCATTGGGCTGACAGGCGACCATGCTAGCCACCATGCTTTTTCATCTCATGTATGCGCAAAATAAATTGAAGTTTTTGTTTTTGTTTGGTTTTTCAGAATAGTGGAGGTGTATAGCAGACGGCTTCAAGGTAAGAACTGACCAAGGCTTGGAAGTTTAGTATTTCACTAAAACTTTTCATGTGCGGTTCTTATACTGCTTTATTTGGTGGTTGAGACAATAATTGCCAGATTCACTGAAATCAAGACCATTGCAGTCAGGGCATGCTGATATGTGCAGGCTCTCTGGTAATGTGGGAATGTTGATTGCATTGTATCCTGCCAAGTTATGTCAGGTCTGCTACTGCCGCTAGCGATGACAGATGTAGTCAAGTCGGTTTATTGGTCTCTGTGCCAGTTTACAGCAGCTTGTCATAAGTGATACATTTGTTTTGTATTGTCTATTATCAGACATGGTGGCATAGTTATTAGTGCTCTTGTCTGATGAGATAATTGCCTGGATTAAACCTTCAATATCCCTATGTCATTTCCAGAGCTCCACTTTGGGAGTAAATAACAGGAAAAATAATAGACCCACTGCCCGCTGGCTAGCATGTCATAAAATGCAGGGCCTAACTTCAGACTCACTAACTGCTTTGAGATTATCTGTTTACCATTGCTCATTCTTAGTTTTACCATTACTGGTGTCCCAACAGCCAAAAAAAAAATAGCTTTTCATTGCTTGAAGCTTTGAAGGGTCTTGGCAGAAGATCTTTTTAAAGTCTTTGAGAGATATGCCTGTATGACATAGCCATTTATTAAATAGCTTTGTAAAGTCTTAAAAAATGTCTACATAACAGAAACATTTATAGCATAGCAATAACAAGTCTTAGATGTCTACATAATGGAAACGTTTATACTTTAGCAATTGTTAGTCTCCGAGAGATTTCTACATAACAGGAACATTCATACACAGAATCTAAGTCTTGAACAGATGTTATATGTATAACATAACTATTGATACCATGGGTCCAGTCCCTCTAAGTAAGAGATGATATGTCCATATCATCATCATCATCATCATCAGGTGCCTTGCCGATTGGCGTGGGCGATCATGCCTCTCCATAATCCGCGATCTCCTGCAGCATGTATCAGTTCGTGTGCCGACACACCTCCATGCCATGCAACAAGACTGTCAAGCATCTTCTCTCGTTGTCTTCCTCTATCCCTCCTTCCACAGATCTTTCCAGTGGTCACAACATGTTCTATTTTCCCTCTTCTCATAACATGGCCGAAAAATGATGACTGTCTCCTTCTGATGTCAGTGATAAGTTGTCTTCGGTCTCCCGCCTCTTTTAAAACCTCTTGGTTGCTCTTTTTGGCTGTCCAAGGTATTCTAAGCATTCTTCTGTAAAACCACATCTCTGAGGCCTCTAAAAATTGTTTGGCCTGCCTACCGATTGTCCAGGATTCACATCCATATGTTAAAACTGGATGTATGTAGCAAGCAAGAATTCTTTTTCTAACTCTCAATGACAAGGATATATTGCACAAGATGTTTTTCATTTTATAAAATGCAGTTTTTGCCTGTCCAATTCTGTTTCTTATTTCAGTTATGCATCTTCCATCTGATGTTATCCATGTGCCCAGATACTTAAATTTCTGTACTTGTCTTAAAATAACACCATTGACTTTTATTACACATTTAGGAATAATGTCCATATACAATAATCATTTATTTAATAACACCCATGTCTTCAACAGATGATGTCTGTGTAACTTTACCATTTATACCATAGTTACCTCTAACATCTCAAAGAGATTATGTTGAATAATGTAATTGTTAATATCATATTTCTCTCTGAGATCTTGAAGAGAGGATATCTCTATAATGTAACCATTTATACAATAGGTCTCTCTACAGTCTCATGTGACAACAAACACTAAAAAATGTCATAATCTCAAAAGTTTACAAATAAATGCCATTATGTAGAACAAAACAATAGACATTAATGTACATGCTGGCATGTTTGTTGCAGTTCAGGAGAGACTAACAAAGCAGATTGCTCTTGCTATCACAGAAGCTGTCCAGCCTGCAGGAGTCGGGGTGGTCATTGAAGCAAGGTGGGGTATCTTTGTTTTTATTGTTCTACTCTTGTCTTATACAGTAGCTACTTCAGTAAAATTTTTTAAAATGCCCTCTACACCAATAAAACCAGCACAGTTAGATAGCTGTAAACAATTTCTTTCCAATGGTACCTCATTTAGGCTTGTATGTCATTTCTGAGCTGAGAAATGTAGGTTTTTGTGGAGATGAGATGTAAGAAACAGCTGCTAAAACTTGTGACCCAGAAACAAGAAGTTTTTCTCTGCGCAACCTACTGCGCAGTTCTGTATCGGCTTTGTTTACATTGGACTGTCATTGGACAAGATGGCAGGCAATGAGACACAGCCACTGGCTGAGCCAGCGATTGCCTGAAAAATGTCACTGTACATCTACCTAGCCACCGTTCAGAAAGAAATTTTATACACAAATGTAAAATTGGACGGAGAATTCAATTATAACTAGCATTACCAGGACGAGTAACAGTTAAAGCCTAAAGCCAACCTCGAATTTACCGCTATTTTCAATCAAACTGATGACTAACAGAAAAACAGAGGACGTCCAGCTGTCGTAGACATGCGCTGTTAATGGGGTTTCCTCCTGCTGTTTTCAGCTATTTATAGCTGGTCTAAATTCCCACCAATAGCAAAATTTCATGAGAGATTTGGACCCATCCGGAAACCAGCCGAGATTTCCCAAAACAAGTTGCGAACGGTTTCCGGGTAACGGAAATTGCCGAAAAGACCGCCAATTGCCGAACACCGTAGTCGCTATATACAGCTCAGACACTTTTAGCCATTGAAACAGTTTTGCAGTGAATAGTTAAAATGTCACGTGTGTGCACTCAGAAATAATGTCTCATAGGAAGCTTTAGAGTATACTCTCAAGTTTCTTTCCCACCTTTTGATCTAATGCATACAAACAGAGTGAAACAGTTTTATCTTTAAATTGTATTGCTAATCTCATTCACCTGTAATATTGTTTTAATGAATAATCCTTATTTAATCCTTTCTCGTCAATTCATATTTAAAAAAAACTAATCAACACAGGATTTTTAATGAATTTTTAGTTTTTCTGAAGTTTGGTCCCTAATTCCTATTTTACGAAAATGCCTGGAACTGATTCCTATGGAATTTTACTTTATTCTGACACTTTAATTTCAGAAAATTATCAACAGTTCCCTGAACCTGGGCTTCAGCCTCCTAAAAAAAGATATAATTAGGCACCCATAAAGGCTAAACTATGTATTACACTTGGCTCCCCTCTGTTCTAGGCAGTTAAGGATAGTTAATTGATGAAGGATAATTAAGTGTAGATAAACCTTCACATGCCAAACTCAATAATCAGGGATACTTGTGGATGGGACATCTGAACAATGCTGCAGTTCCTTGTTCTTGAAACTCACAAAACTCGTAACACTGAGATCTTGTGACATTGTTATCAAATACAGTGGAGCCTGATCACACAACATGATGACTCTTTAACTCTTTTGCAGTAAGGCAGTCAGGATTGTGAGGTCTCATCTCTAGTTAGTGTTTTTATAAAATTTAAATTTTTTTGATCCATCTAAAGACTGCATAGTTACAGACCATGACAGAATAGAAAAATATGCCTCACTTCTGTGTGCAGCCATCTTGGTGTGTCCCATCAACCATACTGGGTGCAGCCATCTTGGTGTGTCCCATCAACCATTACTTGGTGCAGCCATCTTGGTGTGTCCCATCAACCATTACTGGGTGCAACCATCTTGGTGTGTCCCATCAACCATTACTGGGTGCAGCCATCTTGATTTGTCCCATCAATCATTACTGAGTGCAGCCATCTTGGTGTGTCCCATCAACCATTACTGGGTGCAACCATCTTGGTGTGTCCCATCAACCATTACTGGGTGCAACCATCTTGGTGTGTCCCATCAACCATTACTAGGTGCAACCGTCTTGGTGTGTCCCATCAACCATTACTGAGTGCAGCCATCTTGGTGTGTCCCATCAACCATTACTGAGTGCAGCCATCCTGGTGTGCCCCATCAACCAGTACTGAGTGCAACCATCTTGTGTGTCCCATCAACCAGTACTGGGTGCATCCATCTTGGTGTGTCCCATCAACCAATACTGGGTGCAACCGTCTTGGTGTGTCCCATCAATCATTACTGAGTGCAGTCATCTTGGTGTGTCCCATCAACCAGTACTGGGTGCAACCATCTTGGTGTGTCCCATCAATCAGTACTGGGTGCAACCATCTTGGTTTTTCCCATCAACCAGTACTGGGTGCAGCCATCTTGGTGTGTCCCATCAACCATTACTGAGTGCGGCCATCTTGGTATATCCCATCAATCAGTACTGGGTGCAGCCATCTTGGTGTGTCCCATCAACCAGTACTGGGTGCAGCCATCTTGGTGTGTCGCATCAACCATTACTGGGTGCAGCCATCTTGGTGTGTCCCATCAACCATTACTGGGTGCAGCCATCTTGGTGTGTCCCATCAACCATTACTGGGTGCAGCCATCTTGGTGTGTCCCATCAACCATTACTGGATGCAGCCATCTTGGTGTGTCCCATCAACCATTACTGGGTGCAGCCATCTTGGTGTGTTCCATCAACCATTACTGGGTGTAGCCATCTTGGTATATCCCATCAACCATTACTGAGTGCAGCCATCTTGGTGTGTCCCATCAACTATTACTGGGTGCAGCCATCTTGGTGTGTCCCATCAACCAATTACTGAGTGCAGCCATCTTGGTGTGTCACATCAACCATTACTGGGTGCAGCCATCTTGGTGTGTCCCATCAACTATTACTGGGTGCAGCCATCTTGGTGTGTCCCATCAACCAATTACTGAGTGCAGCCATCTTGGTGTGTCCCATCAACCATTACTGGGTGCAGCCATCTTGGTGTGTCCCATCAACCATTACTGGGTGCAGCCATCTTGGTGTATCCCATCAACCATTACTGAGTGCAGCCATCTTGGTGTGTCCCATCAACCATTACTGGGTGCAGCCATCTTGGTGTGTCCCATCAACCATTACTGGGTGCAGCCATCTTAGCATATTTCATGAACCAATACTGGGGGCAACCATCTTGGCATGTCCCATGAACTAATACTGGGGGCAGCCATCTTGGCATGTCCCATCAACTATTACTGGGTGCAGCCATCTTTGTGTATCCCATCAACTATTACTGGGTGCAGACATTATGTTTACCCTGTTAGCACACAGAAAGTAAAACTGTTTTTTATCAGTATATTCAACCCTCTGTCATTTGTAAAACTAAAACATCGCAAGAAAATCTTTGGCGAGACTGAGCCTGTGTGTGTGGGAGTGCGTACATGTGTGATTGCGTCATGCTTGGATAGTTTTGGCGCCTGGCTGGCTAGTATCTGTGTCGAGATCTTTATTATTATGTTTATTATTACCTGTTGTTAGATCTATGAATGAAATGATGTTTGAAAGGAGTGAGGGCAGAACATTAGGCAGGTCTGCATGTTTGATTCTGAACCATTTGAAAATCAAGTTTGTTTGTTGGTAGAGGAAGTCAGGCTGACACATTGCATGCTGGGTAGACTGACTTCTGAGCTTGAGAGGGGAATAACTTGGTGTGATGCACTTGATTTACAAAATAGAACGAAGGGAAGAATAGTCCAGATGTATGATGTGTTACATGAGAGATAAGGAGAGAGGAAAAATACATTTTAATTTTAAAGGGTTGAGAAATTGTTACACTGAGAAAGAGAAAGTATAGAAAAAAAAGAGGAGGGAGGGTGAGAGAGATAGAGATATCCCAGCACATTGGTCTGACCCATTCATGCTCTGTTCATCTCAGTGTCCCCATGCTCACTGTACCCAGGTCAGGGTTGACTGGCCTATTTTCTTTATTTGCCCTACAGCTAGTTTCTACAGACTTCTCTTGGTTTCACACCCACTTTCAACAGGTAGTTCATCTCCACTGTCTCCTCTGTCTCAGCATCTCTGCAGTGCAGTGCATTAAGTATGTCTGCCCTGTCCATACTTCTTCCTCCATCAGCCACTGCAAAAACAGCCAGTCTGTCGACTCTTTCATTTCCTTTCACCCTTACACACACTTTTATATACCCCGATATGAAAGGCGAGAAGGAAATACAATCACACAGTTACTGGTGCCATCAGAATTGGAACTCTTCATTTGCTGCTGAAGATGAAGATATAAATATAAATATTCAATAGTGAGTGTGTGTTGAAGATGGACAATCTAGTCCATAAACTGCCATAAACTGTACACATACTATATTCTCCCAAATATAAAATGCACTTCTTTTAAAAAAAAAAAAAACAGTGTCTAAAATAATCTGCATCTTATTCAGTGGTAGTTAATCTTTCTTTAATATTCCTTTTTTTCACAAACATTTCCGACCCCAAAATCAAGGTGTTGTTATACATGGGATCACCTTATGCTTGGAAAACATGGTAATTTCAAGACTTTTCTGGCAGTTATCTGGAAAGGCATGGCAGTGAGAAAGGGAAATGGCCACCCACCTAATAGGTCATACCTAGAATAAATGAAAGCCTAGCACTTTGTGTTCCATTGGCAGTATTTACTGTGAGACTAACTTTACCATGTTCACATAATATGTACAAGTATGAAGATGATACTGAACATTGTGCCTTTCAAATTTAACTTGTGCATATTTTCTGCTCCAAAAATAGCCACATGTGCATGGTGATGCGAGGGGTACAGAAGCTCAACAGCAAGACTATCACGAGCACCATGCTGGGGGTTTTCCGAGATGACCCCAAAACACGAGAGGAGTTTTTAGCACTGACACTGACCAAATAAATAATTGTTAATGATGTTTGTGACAAACTGTGAGAGACCATTTTTAACTGATACTTGTGTTGTTGGTTCATGGGGAAATATTCAGCAGAACCATTCTGGGAAAGTTCGGAGATGCCAGTTAAAAATAAGTCAGGCAGTGGGTTTTCAACATTTTCCAGGTTGTGCCCCTGAAATGAATGGCAACACCCCCCATGCTCCCTTCCCCCTCCTCCTCCATTTCCCTTTTTTCCACAGTTGAAAAAAAAAAAAATAAGATTCAAAAAGAGGAGGACAGAAAGAAAAATGCTAAGCAGTTACACAAAAAAACATGAAGAAAAACATCTACATTAATCGAACTGTTAGATAACATAAATGAAACAGTCACCAGTGACTGGTCATTTCGTGTCCAAATATCAGTGTGATGGCTGTCACTGTCTTGTCTTGATCATATCTGCTATTTTTGATATGATATTGGACAAGGCAGAAAAGAATATTGAAAAACCAATAATGTTAGTATAACAGATACAAGTGCAAATACACTCAGTTTCAAAATTGCTTAGCATCACCCCCCAACCACAATCAGATTGGGACCCTGAAATCCCCACAGGGATAATCCATGTATAATACTGGGAGGTCATGGAAGAACATGTAGATTGTGGAAAAAGATAGGAAGGTTTGATGTGGCGTACGTGTGTGTTTATGCACAAATGGGAGATCAAAAGCAGAAAACAGAAGGTATGACTGACTTTTTAGTAACACTTTATACAGAAGACTTTTTAGCTCCAGACACACAAGAGTTCCACTAGTAGATAAAAAAAATGATGCTTTTGCTTTGCTACAGGAAACAAAACTGTTGCAGACACGCAAGAGTTTTACTAGTAGATCAAAAGTGATGCTCTTGCTTTGCTACAGGAAACAAAATTGTTGCAGAAACACAAGAGTTCCACTAGTAAATCAAAAGTGATGCTCTTCCTTTGCTACAAGAAGCAAAATTGTTGCAGAAACACAAGAGCTCCACTAGTAGATCAAAAGTGATGCTCTTGCTTTGCTACAGGAAACAAAATTGTTGCAGACACACAAGAGTTCCACTAGTAAATCAAAAATTATGCTCTTGCTTTGCTACAGGAAACAAAACTGTGGCAGACACACAAGAGTTCCACTAGTAAATCAAAAATGATACTCTTGCTTTGCTACAGGAAACAAAACTGTTGCAGTGCTTGAAAATACTAACAGCACAAAAGTATGCTGATTCAGATTATAGTTTTGTTAATTGTTTTCAGATAAATAAATCATGTAAACTAATCTGGCAAATTGTCAATCATTCCAGATAATCTATGTGACAATGAAGCATTCCGACTCAGTCCTAGTTTTATTTGCAGTTTATTTTATTGTGATGTTTTAATTATTATTATAAAAGTTTTTATTGTTTTGTAAATTGTGCAACATTCCAAAACTCACTCTCTTGATTTTTTGTTTATGGACTATTTAATTGTAATTTTTGGGTTTAATGGAGGTGTTGGGTTTCATTTACAAGATGTCACATCTATATATTTGTGTTTGTTGAGACATCTGAGATTTGACATTCTTAACATTCAGGACTAGCTGTTAAAAGCTCTGTTTTCCTCCCTAACAGCAAGCGAAGAGTCTCCATTCTGATGGTACCTATTATTATCTGAATAACTATTCATCTGACCTTCTCCTGAGTTTTCAGTAGCACCCAGAACCCATAGTACGGGCGGTCAGAATCTTCCATTTTACTGCCTTGCCCCACAGAGAGATCACCTCGGCTTTGGATCTTTTTGTTGATTTATTCAGTAGCATTTGATCCTTGAGCCATCATGGAGAAATTATTTGTCCCATAGATATGTAAATACACTTTGTATCTCACAGTGCCTTTTGCAAAGTCACCAATTTCATCTTGTCCCTGTCCGAGAACATCCGGCATTACTTGCAGCAGGAGCAGATCAACCCTGAGCCTCATGAACTCAGGTGAGCCCACTCTCTGAAAATGTCTAGGTGCTCGTAGGCCGAAACATTTGTCGACAAGAGATTACTTCTACTGACGATTGGTAGACACCTGCTGTACATGCTCCCCTGTGGAGTTTCTTCTTATATTATTGGTTAACTGCAGCATTTCAATGTTTTGAAAATCAGCTGTAAACACATGTCATAATTGTAACCGACTCACAGAACATGTTGAGACAGGTGCAGACCAGTATGCTCTGTGAAGAGTGGCAAGCATCGCTTCAAAGGTCTTGGGTACTTTGCATTCTTTGGATATTTTCGACAGAAAATGTTGATGTATTAGGAAATGAACAGGCAGATAGACTGTCTGGTTCTGCACAACTTGGTTGTGAATCAATGCATGACAAGCTTATTGTTGTAAGGGTCCTTTGGGAGCGGATGAACAGTGCAGAAGCAGAGATGGATCATCATGGTCTGAAGAGAATGGCACTGCTAGGAGTGACCACGGGATCTGGTCGATGATCAGAACTCAGGATAAAGGTGAGATGGATATACAATCAGACTGTTGTTGGTACCATTGGAACTATGTGCTTGCTGCTGTAGATGGGGACAGAGCGCTTATGGGAATGTCCTGAGTGCTGTGATGTCAATTCTTAATTAAACATTAAATACTGATTACTTTATTTATTAAAAGCCAGATTGTTGCCCTTATATTCTTCTATACAACAAAAATTATTACTTGTGAATATGGGATTTATTTTTAATCTCGAATACTGGCAATGACATTCACAACTGTCTCTGTTATCTTTGTATTCTGGTTGTTATGTTAGTGATTCAGTATTATATATTTATCATTTTTTAAACTGTAAATTAGTTGTGTTGTAAAATTTTCCTTTAGTTTTAAACTGATTACATAGTTGTAATACTCTTCGTTCCATATTTTCAGGTGTTCTGTTTTTACCTAAATCAGAATGGAATATTATTTGTGATTTTGTATGTTTGTATAAATATGTATTTTATATTGTGAAAATTTTCAACTTGTATTTCATTTTGTGGTCTCTGTGGCTGTTACTTGTTTATGATATTTTACTGCTTCTGTTCTTAGGGAAAAAATATGAAAAACAGTATACCATTTATTAAATGAGAGTTTTAGATCATAAGCTCATGATATTTTATTATCATCATCGTCATAATCCACGAGGGAGGTTGTTAGATAGTTTGGCATCATGTTATCATGAATATCAGTATGCCAAATGATTGTCAGTACATGAGACTGGTCATACCTCTTTTGGAGCATGTGTGTAGTGTGGAGACACAAAGGGATTTCACAGTCTGAAGAGTATGGCACACTCAGGAATGATCGGAGCATCTGGTTAACTTGGACACTCACAGGAAAGGCAGGCCCTGCATGCAATCAAACTGTTACTATCAGAAGTGAAAATCTGTACTGGCTGCTAGAAGATGGAGACGGAGCACTTATGAGTACTATCCAGGGTCACTGCAGCTAGAGAAGAGAAAGGGGAAGACCAAGAGGGAGATGTTGAATAGTTTGGTATAGTCTCAAGAGAATATATACTTCAGAAATGACTGATTGTCGTTGAGACAAAAGACTAAACAGACTTGATTTCCAGTGCTATACAGCATGGACTACAAGAAGTACCACATTTTGTTGTTGTCAGTGCGCGTCTGCTTTCTGTATTTTATTGTCATATCATTGTATTGAGCTTATTGTTTATTTACAGGGTTATTTGTATTGTTGCTTTCAGACCTCAGAAGTGTGTATATTCATCTCTGCTTGTCCTGGTCTTGAAATCTGACTGCAGTTTATTTTCAGTTTGTTCCAGTCTTGGAATTTGATTGCAATTTGATCTCAGCTTGTTCTGGTCTTCGGGTTTGATCTCAGCTTGTTCTGGTCTTGGAGTTTGATTGCAATACTTTTATTGTAATGTTATTTATTTATAAACTTGTTAGAACATAACAAAAGTTAACATAAATGCCAAGACTGTATATTCTAAAAATCTGACTGCTGTAATTTACTGCCCTTTGTTAATAAATCTGACTACAAGAATGTATGCTTGTTTTTCTGTCATTTGTTAGAAATACAAGTTGTATGATGTGTTTATGGACAAATACGTTCGGGTTAACATGGAGTACACTTATGCCCATCACAAAGTATATTAGATCTTTCAATCCCGGGTGTTTAGCACCAGAGGCCCAATGGGTAGTAAAGAGAAGAGTATAATCGGTGCATCTTGTTGTTCAGTGGACTTTTAGTAAGGAACCTGTGAATGTATGGTGCATTCCTTGGGACTGAAAGAGTTAAAAGACGTTTTTGACACAGGTGATATACCAGGTATTTGATGCTGGACTCATAGTTTTGTTGACCAATCAGCATGCGATGGGTGATGAGGTCAACATGAAGCCATCCACTGTTGCTTCTCGGGACATTATCTGGTACACGTTTAGGCTCGGTCGGCCTTGGAGCCAAGGTCATTTTTGAAAGAAAAAATTTCCAACTAAGTTCGGAATTGAACCCAGCACCTTCTCATCAGCAGACAAGCATCTGATCACTGTACCACTGAAGTTTCCTATAAACGATAGAAGTTAAAAAAAAATAGCACATAAATGCACAGCAAATATACACATATGTGTATTGTGTTGATGCTGTTGATGGATCTCATATACACATGCTGACTAATACAGCAATAAACAGAGAAATATATAGAACTAATATATAAGAGTTGATACAATCACACAGCCACACACACACAAGTGTTTATAGGCCAGGGAGTTGACTCCAGTGTGTTAGATTTTATTCTGTACCACTGGATTTCTCTGAAGTGAGGCTGATTAGCCACCTGTGAAACACATATGTGCACCAAACATACATGTCCTTCTCCTATTCTTCTTCTTTTTCTTAAGAGATGTTGACACATGGTATGGTTTACAGCAAAACAGTAATGTCTGCCCCCTTTCAGCCGAACATATCCATTTTCAGCAAGCCCTAAATAAGGAGCTTTGTTGATGCCACATCCCCCCCCCCCCCCCCCCAGCCC